TAAAGGTGATTTTGGGTCATCACACGACGCATATCAGCCAGTTGCCCGGTACATCCAGTCACCTACCCTAGAAAGCTTCCACGAACCTTGCCTGCTTTAAACTCCGGTAATTCTTCTTCATCACCCATGAAACTGGCTTGCAAATTCGTCCACCACTTACAAAAACAAGCCACCCAAAGCGCGATTATATAAATAGCAATGTCGCACCGGCCGTCCGATCTCTTTTTATATTAATACAAGCAGTGTAATTTGCATAACGAGCTGCGTGCATCGTTTTCGATCTTAGCCTCAACACGAATACAATGAGTGCAGGACGCCCTTCTCAGTCTCCAAAATCACCGGCATGACAACTCACGACCTTCTGGGCCCAGTATGCGCTCCAGCTAACCGTCACAAAACAAAATTTGTTGCTATCGCTTGGCTTAGGTGCCATCCTGCCAGCGTAACTGGTGCTCGGATGCAGCAGCAGCAACATGTCCGCAATGCAGCGATGTGCCAAGTGAATTTACGCCAGCACTGCGTTGCCTGCCTGATGCGCTTACGCCAATGAGGCGGCGACTCACGTCCCGAAGGCCGCGAAGTCAGCCGGTTGTCAAGAGGGCCACCCCAGATGAGATCTAGCATGCCTCCGGAATCCCGAACCTTCTGCTTCATCGGGTGATCATAAAGAGTGCCGAAGCCGCATCACTTTTTGTACGCTCAGTGCTCGCTCTCTCCTGCTCTCGTCGATGACATCTGTAACTTCGTCACAGTGCTGTCGAAAAGGTGATAACCGCCGTAAAATTTTTTCCTTCGCTGGAAATTTTCCCTTGTTACGTCCAGAGAGGTTTCGCCACAAAACAAATTAATCACACGAGAGCTCAGCGAGCAACACCACTTCCACAGTATGCTCCCCAGAAGTCACAAACCCAAGAATTCTTTATAATAATGCACTTACAGTCAGGCTCTCCTCATATCTGCGCGTTTCAGATGTCCTCGTGATGCTTACAAGCTAAAGAATTTTGAACACCAAAACACACTATTTCCCGTCATCAACACCACTAACCTCCGAATGCCAGTAGCAACAGGACTGCCTCTCCCGCAACCACTATGCCAAAAATCGTCCCGGTTCACCACAGCCTAATTTCTCAATGCCTCCTAACTGGCAAAGTTCATCTTTCTGCGTGCAAATTACTTATGCAGAAGCACACAGCGGAAAAATAGTTGGCAGTTTGGGGGCCGCACATGAAACAAACTTTATCATTACGCTGCAAGCCGAGGCGAACACAGAGAAACGGTAAAAAAACACAATGCGATTGTAGAATATTACTGATAATAACATCAAAATATTTCCAAACACAAACTTCAAACAAAACGTACTAATGATAGTACAATAACTTTCACCAGCAGTCCTAAATTGGAAACATGGTGCAGAATAGCAGAGATTCAAACAAAACTGAACATCCAAACTGAGTGTACGTACAACTGACCAAACTCATCAGCTGATGTGAAAGATCCGAAGACCTTCCGGAGCGGAAATTCCAACCCACCAAAGCACCTGCTACTTTTTAATCTTGACCGGAAAATTCAGAACTGATTCCACACGGCAAATAACCCAGCTCAAAATATCCTTTGCTTCTTTACAAATTCTGACAGAAAGTAAGATTTAAAAACATTATAAACCATAAAATTCAATCATTATCGGTACTGCCTGGTCCGGGATTACTATCCGACATTGGCTCATCCTCCGCAGCACTGCCAGCACCAGCTTCACCACCGCTACCACCGTTTTCCGTACGTTCTGCAGTAACTTCGTTACCATTTATTTCTGGAGACCGCTCCTCATGGGAGTGTGAATATGATCGTGCTGAATGGGTCCCGGGCGAACGACTTCTCGAATTCGAGTCGTTGCCATCTTTCTTTGGTGTTGCCGAACGCGACCGTGTGCGAGTACGTGAACGTGTTGAACGGCTGCGCGTACTGCGACGGGAGCTGCGCGAACGCGTATGGGAACGACGTGAACGCGAACGGCTGCAAACAGTCTTCGTATATAATCAGTTTAACCTTGGCCTCGATGCCAACACTTTAAAGCCTAATAGCGACACACGCTTGCTTAGTTTTCTCTAAAAAAATTTGTTGCTGGTTATCTAAAGAAATAAAAAAACGCATCAAATCCGGATTCGCTATTATTATCTTTGTTCCCTCGACGTTAACGTGTTATGCTAGGTGCCATCAAAATGTATTATACGTAAGGTAAAACGGATGCAGAAGTTGTTTCCACATCCAATTACTCTGACTGCTAGGATTATGGGCTTGCAACATAGCGTAAAACTGCATATGTTCGTACGTAAAATGTATTGGGTGAATATTATTTACATGTACATCTGCCCAAAC